TTCCGGGTTTCGAGGCGGCGGCCGCGGCGCGCCGCCGGGCTTCCTGGGAGTCGTAGTCTTCGAGGACCGCGGTTCTTGGCCGGGAGGTGGAGCTCCGGGCTCTCTGATGTCATCGCCTCGAGCGGTGAGGCGCGGGGATCTTTAAAAACAGGCTTCGTTCGTTTGCAGATAATTCGTTTGCAAGCTGCCCCGTAGTCGGTCCAAGTGGCACAAGTTCCCAGGCCGCCGTGTGACCTGGTGGAAGACACTCTGCAGCTCTGCGCGCCCATTTTTCGCTCCTAACCTTTTCTCCCTAGAAATGTAGCCCCACCCCCTACTTACGATGGTGTTATGGTACAAGAGGCTAAGAGAAACGTAAAGATTAGCCGAATTTCTTTCAGAAAGGATGAGGCAGAAATGTCTTCTCATATTCATAATTTTTAACATGTTTATTGAACACCTACTATGTGCCACATACCATGATAGGCAGCCAGGCATTTCGGAGATGTAGGGATAGATAATGTCGCTGGCTGCGTGGAGGCTGCAGTCTATAAGGGGAGCTAGTTCATAAACAAGCAAAGGATCATTACAGATTTTAATAGAATGGCAAGAGTGATCAAGCTCAAGAGACGATGGCAGGGGAGGCCTCTTCAGAAAGGGCGGTCAGGGAGAATTCTCTGAAGAAGTAATATTTGAGCTGAAACCTGAAGAATGAGAAACATTCAGACACGCAAAGAAATGGGAAAGAATTACATGCCATGCCTTTCACAGTGCATGCCACTCTAGACTCTCAATGAAAATGTGTTCCTTTTGGGTCCTTCCTTTCCTCTCCCTGTACAACCTTAGATCACATCCTTCCCCCTTAAAACCTTTAAAAAATATTTATCAAGGCCTTTCAGAACATCCTTCCTATGTGAAGATGTATATGAGACAAATCAATGTCCAGGAGTAGGGCAAACTGTACAGCTGCTAAGGCAGAAGACACTGAGTAGATGCTGATGAGTCTGGTGACATGCTGGAACCCTGACTACTTAACCCGTTTTTTGTGAACTGTGTTAAAAATCTGGGCACTCGGCTTGGCCTCCAAACTTGCTTCTGTTTATGAGGCATGAAGTCAGATTTTGAGTTTGTCTCTATTAAGATACTAAAGTAGACTTAACTATTTTCTTTTTTTTTTTTTTTGAGTTGGAGTCTCACTCTGTCGCCCAGACTGGAATGCAGTGGCCGCTCCCAGCCACCGCAGCCTCACCTGCTGGGCTCCGGCAATCCTTCCACCCCAGCCTTCCAAGTAGCCAAAATTACAGGCATGTGCTACCACGCCCAGCTGATTTTTTGATTTATTGTAGAGATGAGGTCTCACTGCCCAGGCGGGTCTCGAACCCGCGGGCTCTGGCAATCCACTCACCTCAGCCTCCCAAAGGCACGGGATTACAGGCTGAGCCACCGAGCCTGGCTAACTATTTTCTTATCTGAATCAGAGGTGTAGTGAAAAACAGCCCTAGGTTTACCTGTGTAGACTTACCTGTGTGACTTTAGGCGGAGGGAGACACATTGCTTTACTGATCCTCAGTGACCTCAACTGTAAATGAGTATAAACCACCCTGCCCACCTTACAGAATGTTCTCAGAGTCTAATAAGCTGATGGAGGTGAAATCCCCTTGCAAACTGCATAGAATGTTCCCATGCTGCCTCTGTCATATACTCATTTTCAACAGCCTTTCATCCGATATTATTGTTCTATTGTCTTTTGAGAAGCCTTAGCTATACAACCTTGCTGTCTCCTCTTGGCACCTCATTTCCTCATCTGTATAATGGTTGAAAGAGTTTGGCCTCAACATCATTTATAAAATGGCCACAGAATCCTGTTCCCTTTGGTCTACACCATGGTTTTTGTTGATTTGACTGAATGTGTGGTTGACACATTTAAAAATAAAAATCCAGATGTCACCCCTCTAGGCATTTGAGCACTCCTCACTGACTAGAAGGTCTGCAAGGAGTCTCTGACTTTTAGTTCTAGTATCCTAGAAGATCCCACATGGGATATTTGCGACATATTCAAACTTTAAAGACCTTTGTTTATTTGAAATTCAAGTTTAGCATCTGTTATTGAATATGTCTGCTGCTCCTGAAATCAGACCACTGAGACAGAGAGCTTCCCTCGCCTCCAGGATGGACCCAGAGGGAACCAACCCTTCTGACTGTGACTATCATTTGACTTAATTGATGAGTGATTTAAAATTGCTCTTTTGCTCTCTTTTGCATAACAAGTCCCAAAGATCCACATTTACATACAACGAGGAAAGAGAAAAGTGACTCAGTTTGCCTGTAGATACACAAAATAGTGCTTTCAGCATTATTTTTTTTTAAAAAAGTATGAAAGTATGTGGAAATTACAGTGTGGAAGCAAACTAGGAACACACAGTATCCACTGAAGACACTGAGGAATACAGGAATATACATGGATACTTTACCTGAAGAAAAAGAAGTCTAAATTCAAGGATCTGTAGTTTACCTTTAAAAC